ACGTAAGAACTTCCGTTTTTCCGAAATCTACCATAAAAACTCCCGTTCTTTCAAAATCTACCGTTAAAACTCCCGTTTTTTCAAAATCTAAAGTAAAAACTCCCGTTTTTTCAGAAATCTACCGTAAAAAATAAAACTCCCGTTTTTTCAAAATCTACCGTAAAAACTCCCGTTTTTTCCGAGATCTACCGTAAGAACTCCCGTTTATTCCGAAATCTACCGTAAAAACTCCCATTTTTTCAGAAATCTACCGTAAAAAGTCACGTTTTTTCAGAAATCTACCGTAAAAACTCCCGTTTTTTTAAATCTACCGCAAAAACTCCCGTATTTCTGAACCTACCGTAAAAACTCCCGTTTTTCAGAACCTACCGCAAAAACTCCCGTTTTTTCTTTTCAGAATTTTCCGCAAAAATCCCGCTTTTTTAAATCTCCCGTAAAAACTACCGTTTTTTTCAAAAATCTCCCGTAAAAACTCCCGCTTTTTTTCAAAAAACTCCCGCAAAAACTCCCGGATTTTGAAAAAAAACTCCCGTAAAAATGCCGCAATTGTTTTAAATCTCCCGAAAAATTTTCATTTTAGGTTGTTCAGTTCAGTTCAGTTTTCTGCTGTTTTACTTTTTTAATGACCACATTCTTGAACACCATATAATTAACTGCTGTTTTACATTTTTAATGACCGCATTCTTGACCATCGGGTGCAATGTTTACTGAACTGTGTTCATGCGAGAAGAAAACTCTCAGTCAGTCTTTAATTTCTAATTCACTGTTCCACAACTAGTTACTTTGACAGAACGTCAGCGATCTAAATGCAATGCATAAATTACAGCTTAAAATATAGTGCACAGTACATGTATTCACTGTTCCACAACTGGTTACTTTGACGGAACGTCAATGTAACAAAGTGGATGAACTTCCTGGTCACGAGTCAAAGTACAGGGTGTTCAAAAAAACACAACCCAAAGAAATCGCTATGTCTAGAAAAATACTTCAATCATGTTCATTTTTCTGGAAAGAAAGAAGAGACTGTGTATGTATAACTCCTGTAGATGGTTAGTTGTAAAACATGATGCCTTGGACACCTGCTCAAAAGACAGTTGTACGAAAAACACAATCAGGGGTGACTGCAACTGCAAAAAAACTAAATAACTTCCTAACCATAGTGTTTTGGCTCTTCAAACTTGGCACAAATTATTTTTATTAAATGTATGGTACATCTGTAGAGTGAAATCAAAATCACTTCAGGGACTTTACAGTCATGGTCGAAATGCCTTCAAATCACAGTCAAACGCCCTGGTTCAGGTAGACTTAAGAAGGCATTTTGGCCATGACTGTAAAGTCCCTAGAATGATTTTGATGAAACTCCACAAATTCACCACACATTGAATGAGGATAATTTGTGCCAAATCTGAAGTGCCAAAACACCATGGTTAGAAAGTTATTTGGTTTTATTGCTGTGGCAGTCACCTCTGACTGCGTTTTTCGTATTTTCCTTGTACAACTGTCTTTTCCGCAGGTGTCCAAGGCATCATGTTTTACAACTCACTAACAACAGGGGCTACCTGTATACATACACAGTCTCTTCTTTCTTTCCTGAAAAAATGAACGTAATTGAATTAGTATTTTCTAAGATATAGCGATATTCCATTCGTATTTTTCGTGTTTTTCTAATACTAATGTCTTTTGAGCCGGTGTCCAACACATCATGTTTTACAACTAACTAACAACAGAAGCTATTCATACACAATCTCTTCTTTCTTTCCTGAAAAAATGAACATGATTGAACTAGTATTTTCAAAGATATATCAATTTCTTTGGGTTGCGTTTTTTGAACACCCTGTAACTAGTTGTGGAACAGTGTAATTAGGAATCCTGTGAGAAATCATCAGATTTCTGAGGAACTAAAGCTAGGTTCACAACAACGGCGCTTTGATGGCGCTTTAAAGCGGCTTTGCACGTCGCTTTAAAGCGCCATCAAAGCGCCGTTGGTGCAAACTTAGCTAAAGCTACGTTCACACCAACGGCGAATGCCACGCTTTAAATCGACGAGCAAAGCGGCACCAAAGCATGGCGCTTTAAAGGGACTTGTAAAGCGGCACCAAAGCGTAACAAAGCTTGATTAAAGCGTCGGGGTCGTAATAGGTCGTAGAAAAGCTCGAAGTAAAGCGGGATGTTCGGCAAGAGCGCCAAAAGTTTTTAAACTGTTTAAAAAATTTGGGCGCTCCGTTACGAAATGATTAAAGCGCCGAGAGCGTATCAAAGCTTAACAAACCGTAACAAAGCTCAGCAAAGCTTGACCCAAAGCTTAGGAAAGCTTAACAGAGCTTGATTCAAAGCGGGAACCCCAGTCTCTTCACGGTCTGTTACTACTTGACACGCTTCGTTTAGATGTCTCAAGCTTTGCTACGATCTGGCATGAAGATCTGATGCTTTCATCAATATCTCACACTCTTTGTTACGCTTTCATGAAGGACTCTCAAGCTTTCCAACGAATTGAGACGCTTTAATCAAGGATTGAAACGCTTTGTTAAGCTTTGTTACGCTTGACAAGCTTCCTGACGCTTTCTCACGCCGTGCGACAATCTTCTTCAGATATGTCATGATCTGGTCCATCTGGAAATTCTGGATCTTGTTCTGCCATCGTCTTCTCGAGTCACAGATGCAATGGTTTTATGGATCTACTGCATCTTTGTACAGCCAATTGATCAAAAGCGTCATGATAAAGGCAATCTCGAAAATGCACAACAGAGCTTGGCAATCGTATCAGAGCCTGATAGTAGTAAATCATATACTGTGACCCGGGGTGACCCCTGATGCATTCTGGGAGTTTTTCAGGGGTCCACGCTGATTGGGCAGTTTAAACCACGCGCCTACGCTCTGATTGGTCGAGTTTTGACCACGTGACCGACCTTATTAATCACTGTTGAACTAGGTTAATTAAAATCGATGGTTGACCGCTAAAAAGACGTTTAACCTTGAAAGCCTGTACCGTCGGTACAGGCTCTGGTAATTTGATACGGAATATTGACAGCCGATGAAGTAAAATTAATAAAAACGCGTCAGTCGTTGACTGGTAATCGATAATAGGTAAGACCGTACCCGCCGGTACAGGCTCTGGTAATTTGATACGGAATATTGACAGCCGATGAAGTAAAATTAATAAAAACGCGTCAGTCGTTGACTGGTAATCGATAATAGGTAAGACCGTACCCGCCGGTACAGGCTCTATTGATTTCTTAGATGTTGTGGCACGTGGGGCGTGACTTAAACAATAAGTTCGTCTCGTTAATTATACTGCCTGTAATGAGATCGATTCGATCGTTATTTCTATATAATAGGTAAATGAAAACTCAGTGTCAGTGAACCATTTAAAAAGGGCCAGTGACTATTCTATAACACTGTATACGTATTCTTAAAGCAACCTATGCTTAATAAAGGATCGTGTAAATTAACTTTATATTTTGTTTGGCTTATATGGTACATATTATACGAGGTAATAAACAAGTAGATAGGTGTCCAAAAAATGCAAAGTTACAAAACAACCACATTTTGAAAAAAATTTAAAGGACCACTAGAATTTACTTATAAAAAGCCAAATCATAAGTCTTGACTCATTTCGAGTTTTGTCATGGCGAAGAACGTCCGTGATTATCTTAGTTATGCAGTTATTTCGACCCCCGTGGATTTCAGTAACTAGAGTTAAATACGATGTATCACACAGTAGAAATGAAGACATATATACGTCAATGTAAGTAATATAGTCATTCATACTTAAGTTTTTGAACATGATAGGTCGATTATTAGTTTTGAGTGTTATTGGAACATGCTGCATTTGTCAAAACATCAATGTTACTCGACACTTTAATGAAACTGAAAACGTAACACCTTATTACGTACTGAAACCATATATTAGTAGTAGTTACGATGTAAATCTAGAGACTCCAATGGCCTTAAGCTTTACCGGAGGTGTTTTAACTTTTGTTATCATAGGTGAGTTACGCGATTTTTGACAAACTATAACACAACGTAATGTTTGGTTTATATTTAATAGTGGTAACTAATGCTATATCATTTTTTAGGTAATGTGTTATGGCTTAGAATGTTAACGAGATCCAAATTACCGATGGTTAAGGATGAAAGGCAAAGGGAGCCTATGATAGCCATATAAAATTCATACAATGTGTACAAAAGATATACGACAAATAAATAAGGATGTATTAAACTACAAGATCTTGTAGATCAGAAAATCCCTTAATTTGTTTGTTTATTGTTCTTTAATTGTTTAAAACTTAGTGAAACATTCGATGTAAGTTTATTAATTCCAAAGTTTCAACATTTGTACAAAATCATTAATTACAGACCTACACACAAAGTTGCAATGTCATCTACTTAGAAACACGTGTATATTCGATTAGGGTGACATCTTCAAATATTAAAATACTCTGTACGATGCTGACATCTAGTGGTAGTTGGATATCACTACATTGATACAAATATATAACATTTATCGTGTATACATATTCAATAATTGTTTAACATTAAACACCGTTGGAATGTAATCATATGATATTGTTTACACGTGTATTACGATTAAGCATTGAAATTGCAAACCGCGATTGAGTAAATTAGCATTTGAGGCTTTTTGAACACTGCATCAATGAGGATTTAAATCGACCTCTTTAAGAAAACTTTAAGACAACTATGTTGTTGTTTTTTTGAAAATTACATGCAGAATTTTAAAAAAACGCCAAATAGAATAAATTCTGGTCTTGAATAAATATGCAGATTTCCTAAAATCTTTTTTTAAATACCTTTCCTATATTTCAATACTATTTAGCGATTCCTCAATTAAAACAAAAATACAAAGTGAACCAAGTAACTTGGGAAGATCACATGAATTACATGAGTTTAATTGATTTATATTGGTCTAATTAAATACAATGGTAAATAAGACAGCTATAATTAAGTAGGCAAAGTCTGTATTTAGTCCAACAAACAAGTTTATGCCTACAGGGGTGATATTCACATCATTGTATTCAAATATGTCCTAATAGAGTGTTTAAAATGGCAGCCATTTTGCTTTGTTTTTACGTGGTCTCTTAAGAGCTTTGGCCGGAATACCCGGTACTTTGTACGATGTGGCGCTTCTTTTGTAAATGAACCTAGGTGTATTATCGGTATAGCTAGGCATCCCTATTGCATCATCATCATCACTGGTTGATAGTCCCGTGTCATCATTTTGTTTACTCGAGGTCCCTTCCTTAAAGTCGCTATCGGATGGGGCATCCAATTTATTTTCCGAGGAAAACGTAGATGCATCATTACTCCCGGAATCAACTTGCTTCGTTTGACTAGGTTTACGTGTACCTATTCCACCATCCATTTTATCAGTATTAGTTGGCGACTGATCTATGGTTTTGTTATTACCCTCCTCAGTTTTACGCGTGGAATTTTCGAGTCTGATATATTTATCATAAGGTATCAAAACAGATTTGATCATAGCTTCAATTTTTGGATAAAATTATGAACGGATTTAATCAATAGACCCAAAACTGATGTATTACGTTTGATCAAGTCCTTTCTAAACTTCTTGCTTTTTGATTTGGTCGCGATGTGTTGTAAAACTCTTTTATGTCGTTTCAATTTTTGTTTATAAAAATTCGCAATAGGGAGACTACCGTGAAGTACGTTAAGAGCTATTTCACCTAGAACTCGAAGTTGCGTTTCAGTAATTGTATTCAATAAAACTTTCATTTGCTGCAAAGTACTAGTCAAAAGAAATTTTAGGAAGTTTTTATTCCTTTTAATAAGTGCTGACATCGTGACATGTCTTTTATATGTTGTCCGGTAACCGTCTGGATCTATACTGATGCGTTCAATTAACTTTTGGGTTTATAAATGATAGGGTCTTCATTCGGAAATATACGTGTGCGTAATCTATATTCATCAACGCCATCTGGCGACATATCCACGACTATGTAACCGTACCTTTCCGAAGTGGCGTCCAAATAGCTGTCCATGAAATATTTCGTTTTATCCGGATATATCTGACCAGCCAAACACTTTAGTTGTCTTTTATCACGATTTGCCTTGAAAATGATGAAATACTGCGTATTTAATGAAATATTTCTAGCGCTAGGACCCTGACACAAGGCGTTTTGTGTTAGAAAAAGGACATTCATATTTCTATGATGACATAATTGCGTGAATATTTTGGCGGCCTCTCTACTTTGACATACGCTAGCCATTAAATCATCTAGAACTAGAAATGTTGGTATCGATATATCTTTCGTAAAATTTAAGATGTCTTCCTCGTCGACTAGTCCTTCGTGAAATATGATTTCATCTTTAAATTGTAGCTCCATATCCAGGTACAGGGATTGCCAAGTTGCGTAACAAAACAATATTTTGGAAGGTGAATTCGAACTATTTTGAAACAAGGCATCTCTATGTTTTAGAATTTTGAAACACATGTTAGTTTTCCCCGATTGAGACGCTCCTATCATGGCGATAGAGGTAGGCGAATTAAAGGGCACCAGGCTATGTGTCATGACTTCGACGGTTGAACTCACAATGATAAATACTTGTTTTGCGAAGTCTTTTATTTAAACAATCGGTCCATTGATGATTTTTAATAAGTTAGTACCAAAGAACAAATATAATTTTTTACCTAATCCATTTTATTTCGATACACAATAGTATAACATAAATAGAATATAAACAATTATATCTAATTAACTTTCTAAAGCCTGAATATTCGGTTTAACGCAGGTTTGGCATTCTACATAAGTCACTGCGGATTTGGTAGAAAAGTGAGTCTTGAAATAATCTATGGTGATTAGATCGTTGTAATAAGTATCCTCGATATTATAGTCATTCAATATACCCAGTAAGCTTTCATTTCTACGAATATAACGATCCATTACAACTAATGCATATTGGCCACAGATTGTACTTTCATCATCTTGAAGTCTCAAGTTATTGTATATAAATGTGTCCGAATTATTTCGTATGAATTCAAATAGACCATATTTTCGGGGATGACCACCCAAACTGTCAAAATACATACAAGTTTTCTGACCCAACGTGTCAATCTTGAACACGAGTAAGACCCAATGTAATCCGGGGTGATCGTGCTTGGCCGTATTGACGATATAAACGGCTAATTTACTCGGAGAAAACCGCGGTAATTCGTCTTTGGCGCAGACCCTACGGTAGGCTGTTTTTAAATAAGATGTAGATTCTAATATATGCCTTAATTGGAGAGAGTTCATTATGTTATGACGTTCCTAGCCTCGTCTATCTGAATAACTTTGGGAAACTCCGCCAATATCAGGATGTTGATCGCTTCTTGCAGAGGTTTTTGAAAATGACCATTGATGGATAAATTACCCCTTCTTTCGATCGAATTAACTTGCGTACTACCGATGTTATTGACGTCAAATCTTAAAATTGTAGTTCCGTTGGCGAATTCGTCTCTGGATATGCTCGCGTTTCGTTTTTGGTCGTTAAACTGGGGAAATAAGTTGTTGTAACACGTTATATACTTGTTCAGCAAACCACCTGTTCTGTAATCTAATGTTACGGGATTGGTCACGCTTAGTCCATCGACTAACACGTCTAGATAATCTAAGTTGAAATGTTGAAAGTTGAAAGGATTCAAATCGTACACGCCCATTTGAGATCGAGCCGTGACCATGACTAGGTATATCGTTTGAGGCACCCTACCTAGAAATAAATTATCGATTTGAAAATTGCGGTTTCCGGTGGCCACACTTAAACTTTTCATTTCTCTGCCGATGTACGGATATTGAGCCAGATTCGTCTTTAACGTTTGGGCGTGACCTTCCAATACACCGGGTGTCGGCTCAATTTTGGCAATTCTTAGAAATGCGTCGGTAATCTTAACCTTATAAGCTACGTCGTTATCATGAGCCGTTAGGTTAAAGGCAGCCGGGGATGGTGTTAGTTTGACTTGAATATCAATGTTATTCAACAAATATTTTTCAATCTTAAAGATGTCAGCGTGCAATGGACCCGCCATTTCAACCTCCAAACTCTCGATCGTGTGCGCCATTCTCCTCAGAAATCCATTATTTTTGGAGTCAAACCCGTTGTGGTCGTTACCTAGACTGGCTTCATCCTTAAAATACATTTGGGATGATAAGTAACCTTGCATATCTGCCGCTGATGTGTTTAGTACTGTTTGAATATAACTTGTGTACGGGTAATAAGGTCCCGATGTTGACATTGATTTTTGCTGCATTTGAATATCCACTTGCGAGAATAATGAATGTAACCAAAGATTAGCGCAAGTAACTTTGGGTGCAGATGCCGCCGGGTCGTTTGGATCGATAGGCAATGGACTCCCATCGGGCATGGTTATTTTTGCCTTGACGAATAACACTGTTTTACTCAAATCTAAGTAGTGATCTCTGTTATTTGTTATATCGAAGGTTAATGGATTACCATCTGATAAATTGATCGGTCTAAAATTGACGTATTTCAACTGTTTCGTGCTGACATCCGTGTCGCGGGATTCGAAAATCATAAACTGCTCGTTCACAACCTCGCTAGAACTGTCCATAATGTTATCCATTTTTATTTATTTGTTTTTGTTTTATCTGTTTTTCCCTTTTTATCAAATATGGTACTTATACCGAGCGTATTATTTTCACGTTTATCACGTTTTTTCTTTAATACGGTGTTACTCCCTTCGATACCTTTGGTACGTGTGGTCTTATTTTTAAATACGGAAGGTTTTATAGATTTAATCCGGGGACCTGTATCTATGATGTTATCACGACGCATGCGCAACCTGGCTCTTTGAACGCTGGCCTCAGAGGGTGATATCATCGTTACAGAGGTTCCACTTCCGGTTTGATTGGTACCGCCGCTTTTCAAAGGAACGTAATGAGCCTTGTTAACTTTAATTTTAACCATTTTTTTCTCTGGTTTTGAGAACAGATCTGTCCAGATATCCATAGCCTTTGTATTAGATTGGCGAAAAGTTTACTCAAATATGTAATCTCTTTTTAAAATGTAAAACGCAGGTTGTGGGGCTATTATTCGCAAATTCCACGGGTGAACCGTCCTGATTAGTCAAAGCAATACTAATCTCGTTAAAATTATTTAGTCCTAAATCCAAGTAATATATATTTTTAAATTCACAGTATGTCTTAGATGTCGATATAGTACGTAGGATCGTCCTCGACGTTGGTCCTACTAATGATTCACCTATTATATTACAATATACGTATATTAATCCTTTATTCACACGTTTACCTAAACAAATTTCGGTTAAACCGCAAGTCCAGTTTTCTAATTTTTTAAATGTTTGGTAATTGGGTAGTTTACTGGTGAATTTACTCTGAGTGTTATCAGCGTAATAAATTAAGGAATCCTCGCTGGTAAGATGTGCGTACGTCTGTTTCAAACTCATAACTAAATTAACCCGTATAGGTATCTTCTTAAATACTAAGGTGCGAGGCGAGTCTATCGAATATCTTTCGGCTCATTGATCTAGAAGTACAATTCTCAATTTGGCTGTGAGCGGTCTGGGGGGTCGAATCCCGGACGGGCCTATTTTTAAAAAAATGATTTCATTTTAATTACCGTGTCTTCAAATTTCAGAGATATCCTTCACATTCACCCAGGAGTTGAACTTTTTGGGCCAGAATTTCCACTTGATTAACGCTAATCTATTGTTTGGTAATCGTCCCTTATATTTAAGAATATGATCTATTTGAAATAACTGATCTGGTTTAGTGGTTACCCCATTCAACTCTTTGTTATAAAACGTTCCTTTTATGTCATCGTCGTTATAATCCATCAATTTATAAACGGGAACACCACCTCTCATATATTTACTTTTAATTTTGAATATTTCACCCGTCCAGCGTGCGTGATATTCTTTCTGAAATGGATGACGTAATGTAGATATACGTACTAAATCGCCAGCTTTAAATTTAAAAGTAACTTTTGCTTTTCTTTTCCTCGCAACATTTTCTTTCTTGATATTTGCGTTTTTAATACGTTCCCGTTGGTCACGTTGCTCTTGTCTCGTCAGTTGGGCGTGCATAACTTCGTATTGGGTAGCCTCATTCACGCTAGATGGTGCTCTTCCAATAGTTCTATGAAATGTATTGTTGTAGCCATTCACTATGTCCATTAGAACATCGACGTATCGGTTGGTTTGATTAGCAATCATGTACCTATGTAACCGTGTCGCTAACGTCTTAATAACTCTCTCGACGTAATTTGACTTTTTTTCATTGAGACTGAAAATTTGGGTGATACCTAAACGTTTCAAATATGGTTTCAAGATATTGTTGTCGAATTCTCGACCCATATCTAGGCGCAAGATGGTGGGTTGTTTAGCTGCCCCTAAATCATCTAAAATGTGTTTGAGAGCTTTAGATGTCTCCTTGGCAGTTTTCGTTTTTAAAAGTTTTGCGTGGACAAATTTGCTGAAAATATCGATTGTAATTAATATGTAACTGAAGCCATTGTTATATGCTTTCAATTTGCTAAAATCGATCAGATCGGCCTCCATCATATAATGAATTCCTAATGTCTGACAGGACTTCTTTTAAATTTTCTCCTGACAGGTTTATACATGGTATACGCTTCAACACTGTTCAAGAAATCTTTCACCATTTTTAATGTTATGTCATTTCTAAACTCTTTAATACTTTTGTGGAATTTAGATGGTGATGTAAAACTTCCATTAAATGTAGGGTCGTAATATAGGTTACTAAGATAATCACGGACGTTCTCCGCCATGACAAAACTCGAAATGAGTCAAGACTTATGATTTGGCTTTTTATAAGTAAATTCTAGTGGTCCTTTAAATTTTTTTCAAAATGTGGTTGTTTTGTAACTTTGCATTTTTTGGACACCTATCTACTTGTTTATTACCTCGTATAATATGTACCATATAAGCCAAACAAAATATAAAGTTAATTTACACGATCCTTTATTAAGCATAGGTTGCTTTAAGAATACGTATACAGTGTTATAGAATAGTCACTGGCCCTTTTTAAATGGTTCACTGACACTGAGTTTTCATTTACCTATTATATAGAAATAACGATCGAATCGATCTCATTACAGGCAGTATAATTAACGAGACGAACTTATTGTTTAAGTCACGCCCCACGTGCCACAACATCTAAGAAATTACTCGAGCCTGTACCGGCGGGTACGGTCTTACCTATTATCGATTACCAGTCAACGACTGACGCGTTTTTATTAATTTTACTTCATCGGCTGTCAATATTCCGTATCAAATTACCAGAGCCTGTACCGGTGGGTACGGTCTTACCTATTATCGATTACCAGTCAACGACTGACGCGTTTTTATTAATTTTACTTCATCGGCTGTCAATATTCCGTATCAAATTACCAGAGCCTGTACCGACGGTACAGGCTTTCAAGGTTAAACGTCTTTTTAGCGGTCAACCATCGATTTTAATTAACCTAGTTCAACAGTGATTAATAAGGTCGGTCACGTGGTCAAAACTCGACCAATCAGAGCGTAGGCGCGTGGTTTAAACTGCCCAATCAGCGTGGACCCCTGAAAAACTCCCAGAATGCATCAGGGGTCACCCCGGGTCACAGTATATGATTTACTACTCCTGATTAAAGCGTCATAATCGCATCAAAGCGTATTAATGCTTACCAAAGCTTATCAAAGCGAGATTTTAAGCGTAACAAAGCCTGGTCAAAGCGGGATCATAGCGTGAGGAACCGTAACAAGTCGGGAAATCAGAGCGTATCAGAGCTTGTCAGAGCGTAACATTACTTAGGAGATCGTGATATTTTTGGAAAAGTAAACATAAATGACAGCGCTTTGCTTGCCGATTTAAAGCGTGGCATTCGCCGTTGGTGTGAAAGTAGCTTTAAAAATATTTGGCGCTCTTGCCGAATATCCCGCTTTACTCCGAGCTTTTCTACGACCTACTAGTATTACGACCCAGACGCTTTAATCAAGCTTTGTTACGCTTTGGTGCCGCTTTGCAAGCAACTTTAAAGCGCCATCAAAGCGCAGTTGGTGTGAACGTAGCTAAAGCTATGTTCACACCAACATCGAATGCCACGCTTTAAATCGGCGAACAAAGCGCCGTCATTTTTGTTCATACCAACGGCGCTTTGATGGCGCTTTAAAGCGGCTTGTAAAGCGGCACCAAAGCGTAACAAAGCTTGATTAAAGCGGCTGGGTCGTAATAAGTTTTAGAAAAGCTCGGAGTAAAGCGGGATATTCGGCAAGAGCGCCAAAATTTTTTAAACTGTTGAAAAATTTTGAGCGCTCTGTTACAAATTGATTAAAGCGCCGAGAGCGTATCAAAGCTGAACAAACCGTAACAAAGCTCAGAAAAGCTTGACCCAAAGCGTAGGAAAGCTTAACATAGCTCTGATAGGTTCCTCACGCTTTGACCAGGCTTTGTTACGCTTGAAATCACGCTTTGATAAGAATTATTACGCTTTGATGCGATTATGACGCTTTAAATCAGGCTCTGATACGATTGCCAAGCTCTGTTGTGCATTGTTACGCTCTGTCAAGCTCTGTCACGCATTGGAAAATGTCGAGATCGCCGATTTTATGCCGCTTTTGATCCAAAGACTATATAAAGATGCAGAAGATCCATAAAACCATTGCATCTTTGACTCGAGAACACGATGGCAGAACAACAAGATCCAGAAATTCCAGATGGACCAGAGCATGACCTATCTGAATAATTAAGACATGATGTTTGACGCACGGCGTGAAAGGGCGTGTGAGAGCATGAGGAAGCTTGTCAAGCGTAACAAAGCCTAACAAAGCGTTTCAATTCTTAATTTAAGCGTCTCAATTTGTTGGAAAGCTTAAAAGTCCTTCATGAAAGCGTAACAAAGAGTGTCAGATATTGATGAAAGCGTCTGACCTCGTGTCAGATCTTCATGCCAGATCGTAGCAAATCTTGAGACATCTTAACGAAGCGTGTAAAGTGGAAACAGACCATAAAGAGACTGGGGTCCCCGCTTTGAACCAAGCTCTGTTAAGCTTTCCTAAGCTTTGGGTCAAGCTTTGCTGAGCTTTGTTACGGTTTGTTAAGCTTTGATACACTCTCGGCGCTTTCATCAATTCGTAACAGAGCGCCCAAAATTTTTAAACAGTTTAAAAAATTTTGGCGCTCTTGCCGAATATCCCGCTTTACTCCGAACTTTTCTACGACCTCTTTAATCAAGCTTTGTTACGCTTTGGTGCCGCTTGACAAGCCGCTTTAAAGCGCCATCAAAGCGCCGTTGGTGCGAATGCTTAAACAGTTTAGCTTTTTTAGCGCTCTTGCCGAATATCCCGCTTTACTCCGAGCTTTTCTACGACCTGTTACGACCCCGACGCTTTAATCAAGCTTTGTTACGCTTTGGTGCCGCTTTACAAGCCGCTTTAAAGCGCCATCAAAGCGCCATTGGTGTGAACGTAGCTTTAAATAAAAGAAAGTTTACAATTTCACATGATTCTGACTCAACATGTTCAATTAAGAATTCTTTTTGAAATGAGCACTGTTGACGCAGGGCATAGATGATAACGTTGCACATACACGTAATCCTGATCTGTATGCCATTGAAGTTAGGTTTTTGCCTTAGCTTTTATGTCTCATAATGACATTTTCATTATTAGGATATGTAATAATTGGTAAATAATGTTTGAATTTGAATTTCTATCTTTAATACGATGCCTGCATCACATCCGGTCTATATAATCATCAACAATATATTAGAAATTTAGTTTTTCATGCTTGGAAAAGTAATTTTGGGAATTTCATGAAAGTTGGAGCATGGTAAATGAGTTAGTGTAGGATTCAGGCAAGTACTACAGTGTCATTCATTGTGGGATGGAGCTTTGTGTAGTGTTAACTTGGCTATCTCTGTCGTCAGGCTTATGACTAACCTATGGCTGGTTTAGATCGGGTTTGTGTAAAAAACCGGGTGACCGGGTAACCGGGTACTTAACGTTCCTAGCAGGGTTAGGATTTTTTTTATCTATAACGTTGGATCTGGACGATACATGTACGTTATTTTCGACGTCACGTTTTGAGGTTATTTCACATCGTAAGAACGTTTTGACAACGTTAACTTTTAACGTTAAAATAACGTAGGTAATGAACCGATTGAGTGAGAACATATTGACGTCTTTGTAACGTTTCCTTAACTCACAAATATTTTGAAGCCATTTCCACAATGTTGAAATTCAACCATCCATCGACGTTTTGCTGAATATTTAAATAACGTCAGATCAATACGGTTCATGAACGTCATTATTGACGTCACGTTTTGAGGTTATTTCAAATCGAAAAAACGTTTCTACAACGTTAAATTAACCGACTTAGTGAGAACACAAAGTTTTTGTCATGTTTTTTTTCCACCAACAAATATTTTGATATTAAAAACCTGTTTTGACAACGTTCTTTTTATACCATCAATAGATGTCTCATGTTTACGTTGCCTCGATGTGTAAAGAACGAAAATGTGCAACGTCTTCTAGGAACTTATATGCTACTTATGAGCAACGTGACATGGACGTCACTGTTTGCTGGATCGATTATTTTGAAAAGTGCTCTGTCTCGTATAGGGTAAAAATATCGAACAGCAGTGCACTCGGTAGGCTAAGTCTGTCAAGTCAATTCGCTACTATATATCGGGGGAAATGTGGAACTTTGAAAGTTGGTAACCCTGCTAGGAACGTTAGGTACCCGGTCGACCGGGTACCCGGTTTTTTACACAAATCGGGTTTAGATCTTTTATGGTACTTCCATTCCAGAGACAAGAGCCATAGGACACTTCATGTGATGATTATCTCTTGAAGAATTGATGGAAAGCTTCTTCATTTGTTATAATGGCCATGCTATTGTGACATTTGGAGCCTAGTACTGTAGCTGCTCCTATTTCACATATTACTTGTCTGATCATGAGTTGTCTAGGAGACAAAGCTGGGAGACCCCTGCATCCTACTTCTACAGGGTAAAGTCTTGCTTGTCATCCTATACAGTGTCTATGGCTTCATATCTAAACTAGTATCCTTTATGTCCAGGTTGTAATCAAACCGATAGAATTTTGTTTTTCCATCCCCTATAGATCTGATTCTGACTTTACTATAGAAAATGTCATAATCTAATTCAATATAAAAATGTGACATATTTTGCAGATGTCTCTAAGCTTCGATCTGGTGCTTAAGAGTAAAACTTCACTTCAGTTGAGAACTTGAGGGTGGTGAGGTATTACAGAGTAGACCTAGTAGCTAAGAACTTAAGAAACAGTGACCAAGACATTGATCGGGTGCTGCAGAGAAAGAACTTGACAGATATTACGCACATGACGATACTGATCAGGTGCTATTGAAAAGGTCCACAGCTAATCACACGAGAGATACTGCACTGAGATATTGATCGGGTGCTGCAGATTTTTTACTTGAAAGATATCAACCAAGTGCTCTCCATTATGACAAATCTGTCTGTTCTGGCATTCACAAGTCTCTTATTTCTGTTGACATCCAATTTGGAAATTGTAACGTCTATGATTAAAACCACTAAAGGTAAAAAAGAAGCGTTAGACATAGATGAATGCAGTTTCAACGAATCGCATAAAGTGGAATGTCCAAAGACATCACGTAGTTGTAAGGGGAGATGTGATCGCTCATACAATAACATCACAACAACAATGAACTCAAATCTGTTATGTAAATGTGATGATAAATGTCTACATTATGGAGACTGTTGTGAAGATTACGTGGAATCATGCGCCGAAAATGCAAAACACACAGCTTCAAGACAAGACAGACAAGATTTGTATGAATGTACTAAAATACAAGATGAGACTTGGGTATTCCTAATAGCTCAGTGTCTACCTGGCTATAAAGGAGGAGCAATCGAGATAGCATGTAGGGGATCCAATACTGCATCTGAACGTATCAAACAGTTTCCAGTTACGGACATCCTTACTGGAAAAGTTTACAAGAATCAGAACTGTGCGGAATGTAACAATGTTGGAAGTACGACACAACCATGGAACATTTCACTCTCATGTGATATGGATCTACGTAGATACTTTACCTTATTGCCAAAACAATTTCTCAGCATTGACATGGACTTCATAGCAATGCTACTTAAGAACAGATATTGCCATTTATACTTCAGTCCACCGGAGATGTCAGCTCCCCGTACATGTTTTCCCTATGTAAGTCTTTGCCAGAGATGTAGAGACACAATATTGGAAGAAAAATGTAAAAATGGGGCTCAGAATCCCGTACATTATGTATACAATTACCGCAACTTGTTTTGCTTAAAATGTTCATTAGGTAGGAATCGGTATCAGTTGTCAGAGCGTATTTGTCACACAGCAAGCTTTTCAGGTAAAATACGAGAACGTGACAATTTCAAGGCTTCGTTTTTTTCACTCAAAATAATTATAGACGCCAATGAAGATGAGGAAACTGGCATATCAATAGATGCTAAAGGTAGAATATTTGGGATGTCACCTTTGCGGTTTACATGCAGTGTTCAATCGGGATGTAGCGTCAGAGCATGCCCTAAGGGCTATGAAGTCCAAGGTTCAGTTTGCGTTCTACTCAGCAAACTTGCATCAGTTCATCTTCAATGTTTCTTTACACGGCCTAATGCCACAGAACGAGAAAAATTGTTTTGGGTCATAGAGAAATTCATGAATGAAGCCATATCTGTGTTTCTTGACCCAGTCGGATTTGTAAAAACTGACTGGGATACTTCAAGAATTTCATATCAAACTCATTATATACAAAATGGGAGACTTGATTTTTTATTCAATACAACATATCCCCGAAATTACTCACTCCCATTACTTGACAGAAAACTATCAGAAAACTTAAAAGACATGTTGAGTTTTCTTAATCAAAAATATATGGTTGCTATTAACATGACATACACTGAAATACCCCTCAAACTCCCTAAAATAGTTGGAAAGAGTGGAAATGTGACACCATCAAAGACAATCAGAAATACCTCAGACAAACTAAGACTGAATGATTTAATGTTTGTTATCAACATTTTAGTGTTTATCAAACTAACAGGAGTGAAGATAGTCTTGCCCAAGTCGGTATTTCTTTTACTTATCCTGATCTTGAATTATTACCGCCGGTCATAACACTAACAGAAATCAAGATAAGTAAAAGAGACCAATTTGGGCAAGGCTAGACTGAAGAGTGTATCGGAAATTCCATATTAATAAGAGGCCAGTCAAATGGTGAAAACAGCCTAATTTAGGACAAATTGCAATAGTTTGCAAACCTAGTTTAAATTGTTGATCAATATTCACCTTGCAACAAAAAGTAATATACAAATTTCACTCCAAAGCGACCCCATACGCCTCCATATTTGTTTGTGTTCAAATGTTTTTATCTGTAACAAAATTGTTTTATCTGGTTTCCTAATTGAATATGTATGTATAATTTATTTACCTCTTAAATAAAAGAGAGATGCATTTATATAACTAACATATAATTAAAACATATTAAAAACTTATACTAACAGTAGAATGACTCAATAAAACTTGCATATCGAAGAAGGAAAAATACAAGTTTTTCATTTTTGGCCCACACACTTTTGAGGTGACGTTACTTTTGCTGAATAACGAAAATAAAATTTTCTATAAAAATCCATTCTTGATACATCAAAATAACAAGGCACGAGGTCAACAATATCGTACCTAAAACATAGCAGTGTGGGCTTGATGACCCAGAAAGAAAGATGGCTAAAAGGCTCAACTAACTCACGCTTTATAGAAAAATGTAAATTAATAGCTATGTAGTCATCTGTTTATTAATTAACAAGCTCTAAAAATAACAATGGTATGATGAAATTGTTCCTTTCTCCCGGACAACATGTAACAAAGTCACATTACCATTCAAAGTTTGTTCTCGTACTTTAGGGCCTTTAGAGCTAACCAAAAATTTCAAAAAGGCCTTAAAGTCTCCATGTAAAGTTTGAAAATATGTTTATATCAATCATTTACTATTAGTCATGACTTATTTTAAAAAGTTTGAAAAAAAATATTTAAAAAGACATTGTCAGCGTTTCATTTCTCAAATTTCCCACTATTTTTCAAATAAAAATAGAAAGGATGAGTCTGGGAATGAGTCTGGGTATCGACTTAGAAAATATTGAAAATTGTAATGTCTGAAAAAGCAACTCAATCACACATATTATTAAACTTCAATATCTTATCCTTCTTCTGAGAGTACAAAAATATCAATTTGTATCACAATTAATGAAGAATATTGGCATCAAAGACAGTACATATCACTTCGTCAGAATTGAAAAAAAAATCAATGGCAAATATTAAATGAATTATTTATACAAAAGGTTTGAAACATATCCTCCAAAACATTGCTTACTTTCTTTGTATAGACATTGAATGGCATTTCTGGATAAGTGAATTGGTGTTTATCTGGGTAATCAAGGGATTATAGTCACTCAAAGTTACTGAGCATCCAGTTTTGAGACTTCAATTGTGTTGGTGAGGTTACACATATTTCAGTCAAATTCATGCTGAGCACAACATTCCGGTTTCAATTTTATAATCTCTATACATGACCCTGGTGATGAAGAGTCAGAATCAGTCAAAAAACCTAAACCGTAAAACTGTGCTCATTGTGAAAACTAAAAGTGAAGCAACTTTTTTTCTGATATTTCTTACATCAAATGGCAGCCATCTTGTTTTTCCCCCTTCAAATTAAACTGGCAGGAAATTCAAAAATTTGAAAAAAAATTTAATCCTTAAATATATTTCAAAAATATGATTTTCTTTTAAATTCTTCATGGGTCTTAGTTATTTCTTCTTTCCAAGTCATATATGTTGCCATTGATGTTTTTTTTCTATGATAATGACTATTTTCTTTTTGTTAAGATACTTATTCTGACTCTCAGCAGGGGGTTAATTATGCCTCAAAACTAGTGAAAAAGTAAATATACTTATCAAATATAACTAGGACAGTAATAAAAAACATATTTAACATACATTTGACTGAGGGACCAAAAGGGCATATACCCGGACACATCCTTTCAATCATCAAATATCCCACTAAACAGTGCAAAAACATTTTCTTTTGTGCCAATATATCCTTCTTCCAGAATCATTGGTATAAAGGTATAATACCATCCCACATAAATCTACTTGTTGAGACTGAATAAACTTGAGTTCTTGAGAATGTGGTATCTCTCCTCATGTGACATACATAATGATATCCCTATGCTAAGTCATTAGTTAATGGTGTATATCTCCTCGTTACGTCAATGCATTCTTGTTGAAATCCTCATTTTCTTAGAACTTGTTAAATGAGTCTCAATAAGTAGATTCATGTGAAAAACCAAAAGTAAACATAGGAGTTCCTAAACCGGTGTAAAAGAAATTATGGTCCCCTGGGGATTATGGTCCCCTTTCTTAAAGGCCCTCATTATGGATACAATAATAAGGGAAAGAGTTGTATTTAGGTCACCATATAAATCGATGGAAAGTAGGACCATAATTTGATAGGACCACCTACCCTTTTACACCAGACATTTTAATTTAACTAAAGCCTTTTGAAAATTTTGGTTAGCTCTAATCCTCTATTTTTTTTTTTTTTTTTTTTTTTTTTTTTATTAAAAATATTTATTCTCTAAAATTAAAATCAAATACATAATAACACTTGACACTTTTAATAAGTGTATCAGCGTGAAAACATTTAAATATTAACCTGAGTCAAATGGAAATGAGAAAAAAGAACAATTTAAAAATATTTACTCAGTTAAATGAGAATAAAATTGATAACAATATATAAAATCTACATATATGTTTGTCAGTAATTCAGTTCAGAATAGGTTGATGTCATATGAATTTTAAAATTCTTTTTAAAACAGTTAATGGAAGGTAATGTTTTCAAAGAAGTTGGCAGATTATTCCAAAGCTGAGCACCTGAATATTTTATTGAGTTTTGACCTATAATTGTTCTAAATTTTTTCATGTGAAGGCAATTTTGAAATCTTGTCTCATGTTCATGAAATATCAAATTTGGAGTAAAATAATTTTCAAATATGTCAAAAGGAAAGCCATCGGGTTTTGTTGTGTATTGATAAAGAAATTTTGCAACTTCAAGCTTATGTATGTCAAAAATATCTAGAAAATTGAGTTGTTTAAAAAGAGGTGGGCTATGTGCTAAAAAGTCAGAATTTGTGATTATTCTCACTGCACGTTTTTGTAACAAAAGCAATTTATTCAAAAAGGTTTTACATGCATTACCCCATATGATGTTGCAATAGTTCAATTGTGATAATATAAGTGAATTATAAATGGTAATCATGGTTTTTGTATTCAATTTATATTTAATCTTTCCCAGAATACCAATAATTTTAGATATTTTATGTATAACCTTATTTATGTGCTCATTCCATTTTGAACCATCCACATAATATAAGTGAAGTATAACACAGGAGTATGCTTTTCAATATATTGAATTACTGTATAAGTGGTATTTAATCCAAGCGGTTAATTTGCCCAATGGTCACATTTTATCATTTTTCTAATTCAAATTTTCCTTATGACAACACAGATCCCCTTGGACAACATTATGAAAATAATATTTCCGACATTTAATTTTGTGAACCTGGTAGAAATTATGCAATGAGCAAATTAAATGATTAGGCAAAATTACCACTTATACAGTATATGTATATTTGGTCATCATCATATCAAATACATGTTTATTGATGAATGAATTCATGATATAATAGTTATTGCTATAAGAATTTATAGTAGTATTTCATTTAAAAAATATACATTACATGATGATATTAAATTCAACCCGTACCTTGTGACACTGAGTATGTCACTTAATAAAAAATTGCAAATGTATTGCACTTAATGAAAGTCATTCTAAAAATCATGGATTATACTAGAGCATCTTTTCCATCTTGTCAAGTTAACTATTTGGATCCCTGTGCTTCATCAGTAGTTTCACAATTCCAGCATTGGGTTCGGTATATCTGAAAAAGACAGTTAACATGAGAACTTACAGACACAAAGTGGTAAATACACTTTTCCCCATCAGCTCAAAATGATGACTACGAAACACTTTGACAAAGTGTTATGAAAATACAAAAAAAGGTTCATCTGACAAGCCTTTAATATATTGGTGGACATATTGGTGTCTATTAGACTTCATTTATATAATTTTCAAAACACTGTACTTCTGGTATTTTTCATCACTATTAAAGGATGTGTCCGGATATATGCCCTTTTGGTCCCTCAGTCAAATGTATGTGAAATATGGTTTTTATTACTGTCCTAGTTATATTTGATAAGTATATTTACTTTTTCACGAGTTTTGATGCATAATGAACCCCCTGCTGAGAGTCAGAATAAGTATCTTAACAACAACAAAAAATAGTCATTATCAAAGAAAAATCACCAATGGCAACATGTATGACATACAAAGAAGAAATAACTTATGAAGAATTAAAAAGAAAATCATATTTTTGAAATGTATTTAAGGATTAATTTTTTTTCAAATTTTTGAATTTCCCGCCAGTTAATTTGAAGGGGGGAAAACAAGATGGCTGCCATTTGATGTAAGAAATATCAGAAAAAAGTTGCTTCACTTTTAGTTTTCACAATGAGCACAGTTTTCCGGTTTAGGTTTTTTGCCTGATTCTGACTGTTCATCACCAGGGTCATGTATAGAGATTATAAAATTGAAACCAAAATGTTGTGCTCAGCATGAATTTGACTGAAATATGTGTAACTTCATCAACACAATTGAAGTCTCAAAACTGGATGCTCAGTAACTTTGAGTGACTATAATCCCTTGATTACCCAGATAAACACCAATTCACTCATCCAGAAATACTATTCAATGTCTATACAAAGAAAAAAGCTTTTTGAATAAATAATTCATTTAATATTTCCCATTAATTTTTTTTCAATTCTGACAAAGTGATATGCATTGTCTTTGATGCCAATATTCTTCATCAATTGTGATACAAATTGATATTTTTGTAATCTCAGAAGAAGGATAAGATATTGAAGTTTAATAATATGTGTGATTGAGTTGGTTTTTCAGACATCACAATTTTCAATATTTTCTAAGTCGATACCCAGACTCATTCCCAGACTCATCCTTTTGCAACTTTTGAAAAATCACAATTGCAGTTGTCCTTTAAATGCATAGAAAATGTAAATTAATATTAACCAAAAAATGTAGTTTTTAATTTTCAAAACTTATCACTGAAAAAGGGTCACATAGGTTATCATGAACAATTTCAGCCATGAAGTAATATCTCCTCATGCAACAAATAATGATTCAATAATGTACAGTAATCATACCTATAGCCAATGTTATATCCCATTTATCACCCGATAACACTTGGCAAATGTTTGACCCACAATGCAATGTATCAGAGTTACAGGATATTACAAATTTTACAAATCTCCACAGATCTAATTGGCAAACTTCACGACAATTATTTCTTGCAATTTTCCACCATCGCAAATTGTGCAAAAACTAACAGTACGCAAAAAATACCAGAAGTACAGTAGGTTGAAATCCAAATAAAAACCACCTACTTGTAATTATTACGTCTCAGATAGTCACAGACAGCTGGTCTAATCTTAGCTTGGCCGCCTCTAGAGTGCAATCCTCTTCCAGTTATTACATTCAAGTGAATCATCCTCTTGTTGGGATAGTCTCTCAGTTCTTAAAATACATATTTGACACACTGACTTAGCCATTTATGCGAATGGACAAGACACAATAGAGATTATGTACAATATGTTTTCATAAAAACCATGTCTGGGCATTTTTAACAAATTAATCTTACAGTTGTCCTTTAAATGCAAAGAGAATGAATTTAGATACAGAAAATCAAAAATGACTGCTTAAATATTAACCCAAAAATGTAGTTTTTAATTTTCAAAACTCATCACTGAAAAAGAGTCACATAGAATAGGTAACAACAATTTCAGACAATAATTTAATATCATGGATTGTGAGTATTTTCTGATCAGGAAGACAGGTGAATCTTTTAGATTTATTCTCTAAGAAAATGCTATCCACATGTATTAAGTTAATCAGACTATGTGATATTAAAGAAGCAAAAACCCTTGAAATAATGATATATTAGATGTTGCAGCCTATAAGATTTCTCAGCAGAACATCAAACTGCAAACAATATCGTACCTTTATTAGGTACGATAAAAAGTAATACACCTTTCTTGAAGAATTACACCAGTTGTGGAATGATGAATTGAAAATGTTGAAATGAATGAATAAATCCCAGACTACTGAGCTGAATTAAAATGAAAATCTATATTCACCATGTTCTCTCTTAAAGGCAGAATCTGATGTATAGGTGGTGACAAAATTACAACCAACATGTATGATTGACCTGCCAATCTATTCCTTACAATATCAAATACAATATCTCCCAAAAGATTCACAATATATTATAAATTGGTGAAGTTATTAATGATTCAAAGTGCAAAAATGAGTGAAAAATGTTTAAATTCTCCCAAATAATAAGAATGGTAACCATTCTTATAGAAAAATAATACATTTTTGTAAAAATCTTTAGTTTTCCTGGAATAAAGTATGCACTGTTGTGATTTTTAGAAAAAAGTCATGACAAGGAATGACATGAGCCAAAAATATTCTAAAATTGAAACAACTTTTTGTTTAGCCTGCTCGCCATATCTGATTCTCTCTTTAATGTGTTTTTCAGAGTCTAAGGCCTCATCAACATGTAGGCCATGCAAGTCTAATGTCTTGAAATGAAAATCTATTATCACCATGTTCTCTCAGTATTATTGTTCTTCAGAGTCTAAGGCCTAATCAACATGTAGGCCATGCAAGTCTAATGTATTAAAATGAAAATCTATTACGCAAGGCTAATGAATTAAAATGAAAATCTATGTTCACCATGTTCTCTCTGTATTACTGTATTCTTCAGACAGTCTAAGGCCTCATCAACATGTAGGCCATGCAAGTCTAATGTATTAAAATGAAAATCTATATTCACCATGTTCTCTCTGTATTATTGTATTCTTCAGACAGTCTAAGGCCTAATCAACATGTAGGCCATGCAAGTCTAATGTCTTGAAATGAAAATCTATTATCACCATGTACTCTCTGTATTATTGTATTCTTCAGACAGTCTAAGGCCTCATCAACATGTAAGTCTAATGTATGAAAATGAAAATCTATTATCACAACATTCTCTCTGTATTATTGTTCTTCAGAGTCTAAGACCTCATCAACATGTAGGCCATGCAAGTCTAATGTATTAAAATGAAAATCTATATTCACCATGTTCTCTCTGTATTATTGTATTCTTCAGACAGTCTAAGACCTCGTTAACATGTAGGCCATGCAAGTCTAATGTATTAAAATGAAAATCTATATTCACCATACTCTCTCTGTATTATTGTGTTCTTCAGACAGTCTAAGGCCTCATCAACATGTAGGCCATGCAAGTCTAATGTCTTGAAATGAAAATCTATTATCGTCATGTTCTCTCAGTATTATTGTTCTTCAGAGTCTAAGGCCTAATCAACATGTAGGCCATGCAAGTCTAATGTATTAAAATGAAAATCTATTACGCAAGGCTAATGTATTAAAATGAAAATCTATAATCACCATGTTCTCTTTGTATTATTGTTCTTCAAAGTCTAAGGCCTAATCAACATGTAGGCCATGCAAATCGAATTTATTAAAATGAAAATCTATATTCACCATGCTCTCTCTGTATTATTGTATTCTTCAGACAATCTAAGGCCTCATCAACATGTAGGCCATGCAAATCTAATGTATTCTCATCCTGCTCCACATTTCTGAAATCATTAAAGAGGGTTGTACAATGTTTAAATACACGCGGACACCAAAGAGTTTTAAAAGGAAATGATAAACAGACTAATACATTTGATGTAAGATTATATAGACAATATCTGGCAATAAAACGTAATATAAGACTTAATATAACAGTATGGTATCTCAACTAAGAAACAACAAATAAGTTCATACCTTTCCTCTACAATTCTCTCTGAAGCTCTCCTATTGGCCTCTTTTAGTTTCTCTGTATGGAGGTGGCCCTAATTGATAAATGAAGAACATCATTAAAATAGCACATTTTACTGTTTCATTTAATTGATGTAACAAAACAAATAGAACAGTGCACCCTCTCATTGTGGTATTTTATATCTAATGACAAAGACATATAATATAAAAGTGTTTTTGCAACACTCAGTTGAAAAACTTTCATTTGAATATTAATGCCATTCAGCAATACATCACAGGAGTTGTTAGGAATATACCTGCTGACTGTAATACGATGCTACTTGTCTCATTCCTCTCTTATATGCCTCTTTTGCCTTCTCAAAACACTCAGCTCTCCTTCTATAGTGCATAACTGCCTCTCCTCTGTAATCAAAATACTCTGGGTTCTCTATAGATTGGTAAGCCGTGTCCGCTTCAATATTGTTAAGTTGATACTGAAAAATGTAAAGATATAAATTATCAAGATAATACAATTTATTGTATTTTAGATACTAATAATTTTTTGGGTCATTCAATGTTGTTGCCTTCATCTGGTTTCATGTTTTAGTATTGTATTTATTTTTTAGAATTTAGCAGATTTCCGTTCTTTCATCCAATGTTATTTTCAAGACAATTTTAAATCAACTATTTAGAAAACCTATACCTCCGAGAGACTTTCAATCTTTGCCTGTTTGACCATTTGTTGCTCATACGCATGATCTGTCATCACAGTTGTAGCAGGTCCAGTTTGGTCATTAGAGTCATACAATGCCTTTATAGTTGCATCCAGAGAATAACTACAATAACATGTATCAATAATACTAGTAGTTGTAGGAGGATAAAGGCAAAATCAGATCTTTGGAAAAAACTTGCTAAAATATATATAACTTACCCATTAGCTTCGAATAGTCCATTAAGTAATGATGCATCTAATGTTGGAAACATTGCTAGAAGTTGTTGCCTCTTCAACTTGGTAGCAATGTTTCCTTCAGCCCCAAAAGGACTTGGGGTAGACTTCTGAAAAATCAACGTCATATTTTATAAAGATAGCAACTGTTAAATATATCATATATTAACCCCTGATGAATTCTATTTTATTTCATAAAAATACCTAATGCGAATCTCATTTCGGTAAAAAAGCTAAAAATCTTCTTGATACAAAATTTCGAGATAACAGATGATCATCTTGTATATTAGCCATAACACCAAGCTTTTTGATTTTTGCTCATTCTTAACACTCTTACTTAAGTTACTTTGTTCTCATCTAACCATCTAATTTCTTCTCGTGTAATATACATATGTGCTATAAATCATACAGGATACTAAATCTCTAGATACTTGATGAACATTTTTAAAGAATATTAGCTTTAACACCTCACCATTTCATTTCTGCTCATTTGGACAGCCATCTCTTCATTCATAATATCCCTCAAACTAACAGCTTCATTCCCAGCAGTATTCAGGGGTGAATTTGTAGCAATCACTGATTGGACAGTGGAAACCATGGGCCGGCCAGGGGTGAAATTGGCTTGAAGCTGTTCGGTTTTCATCAACTCGAAGTCCTCCTTTTCCTGGAGACTCCTGGCAAGTTCTTCATCTGTAAGTGGAATGATCTTACAGTTTAGACACAATAAAATTAAACAATACAGAAAAACAGTTATTTTATAGTGAGTAACTTAACATTTATATTTTCTTATTTAAGATATAGTATGGAGAGACATTATATATTTAAGTGTATATCAAGTGCCTTGTATTTTAAGCTGACAGAGATGATTGAGGAGAGGCTGCTAGTACAAGTAATATATTGTTGGGTTTTTCTAAGTCATGCTAGGTTTCAATTCTTGTATAAAGATGGCAGCATAGCTGTGCATCAAGACTTAACAAAATCATTGAAGCCAAAAGCCACAACTCTGTTCTTTTCACTCATCATATAGGCAACACTTAGTCATTTCTCATAACCAGACTAGCTGGATTTTCACGAGCCTGTATCTCAATACTTTAACATTTTACATCCAACCAAAGGGGCTGGACTCTTGCAATAACAGTGGTTCATGACTTAGGCAATTTTAATCATTTATAAAGTTGGACTTAAGCATTTTCAGTGACATTTCAGTAAGAACTTAGAATAATTTGGTCATTAAGTTTCATTGGCACTTTGCCAAACTGGTCATTGGCAGGTTGCCAATTGTGGTTTGGCAACATGCCAATAGTAGTGCTATATAAGAGGCTTCAAAACCTCACCCTGGCAGTTACGATCCGGAGTTACGATTGGGTCTTTACAGTCAGTACAGTAGCTCAGTAATGTACAGCTTGTAAATAGATAGTTTAGTTGGACTTATAATAAAGAAGATATGTTACAAGAGTTACAACAGACAAGAGGCCATAGAAAAGGCAAAGAAGAAACTACTTTCAAAGAAGAAATTTATGAAAAACTATAAACAGCTGGTTGAACTATTATTTGGTGTAGCGGATAATGCATTGCATAGAAATATTGTGGATGCAGTGAATAATATGATGAGCAGAGGCGTGTCTAGGGATCTCGCTATTAGAAAATACTTTTGAAAAAAAACACAAATTTGATGAGCTATTCATAGATGATACAGATGAGGATGATTCTGAGGATGAGGGTAGTGAACCTGAGGATGAGGGTAGTGAATCTGAGAACGAGGCTAGTGAATCTGAGAACGAGGCTAGTGAATCTGAGGATGAGTGATAAATATCCATGAATTCATGAGAGATCTCCATTGTAAGTCAGAAAGCGACCATACAAGATGTCATATCAGGACTATTTGAAGAAACTATACTTTGATAGTCAACATTCTGGAGCATTTGCTGGACCCGATAAGCTATACAGAACTGTACTAAAAGATGGAAAATATAAACTTTCCCGCTATCAAATTAAGAAATGGCTCGATAATCAAGAATCTTACAGCTTGAGCGACCTTACAAGAAGCGTTTTACTCGAAATAAAGTATATGTTTCACATATTGATGAACAATGGGATGCTGATCTCATGGATGTCTCTAATATGTCAGCACAGAATGATGGGATACGTTTCATTTTAGTTGTCATTGACATCATGTCATGATATGCCTCGATCAGACCTTTACACATTAAAACTGGAAAAGCTGTGGCTGATGCATTTGATGATATCTTCAAGAAGGGACGCCAACCAGATGTAATACGGAGCGACGCTGGCCAAGAATTTCGTGCCAGGACTGTACAAACATTGTTGGGCAGATGGGGAGTCCGCCATTTTGTTACGAGTAATACTCCAAAGGCCAACTATGCAGAGAGACTTATGAAGACATTAAAGACTAAACTCATGAGATATATCACATACAAACAGAACTATAGATTTGTAGACAATTTACAAAACTTTGTTAAAAGTTATAACGCTACTTGGCATAGGGGAATAAAAATGGCTCCTAAAAATGTATCCAAAGATAAAGAATTGGCTATTTGGTGGCATATGTATTATCCTACATCAACTGTTGTCAAAACCAAATCTAAAGTTATTTAAATTTCCTATTGGAGCTCTGGTTAGAATTACCCAGTCGAAACATATTTTTAGTAGAGAATATGACCAGCATTGGACTGGGGAGCAGACAGGGGTTGCCTTTATACCGTTTGAAAGATTTTCAAGATGATGATATAAAAGGTATGTTTTATCAATCAGAGCTTCAGAGGGTACAAGCTAATGAAGATGATATTTGGAAGGTGGAGAAGATCCTAAAAACACGAATCAGACGAGGTCAAAAAGAGCATCTAGTGCGTTGGCAATATTGGCCCAAAAAGTTTGATTCATGGGTTAAGGAATCTGAGATTTCCTCATTGTAAATATTCTATCATGTATTACACCATTTTGTTAGTTATTATATGAACTATAATGTAAATAAATAAATATACATATACTATTTGTGCGAATATTAAAAATAAATGTTTTGTTTGTTTCATAAATACAGCAAGTATATGGATAATTCGGACTACTAAAGAAACGATTGACAAAATACAAAACCAGTGAATAGCTTGTAGTCTAAAATTTAATATAACTAAGCTTTGATAACAAAACTATTGGTAACCATTACGACTGTCTAAGTCTATTATAACATCTAAATTGAATTGAGGTTTTTATAACCTTTTGGCGAAACGGTTTGACCTTTCATTGACCTCTCTCAAATGTCTGAAATCCTCTCTCAAATGTCTGAAATCATCAACAATCCCGGGAATTTAGTGTGCATGGTGGCCGAACGATGCAGCTACCAGATAATTCGGATGCGGCCACCAGGGGCCACCAGATAATTCGGATGCGGCCACCAGGGGCCACCAGATAATTCGGATGCGGCCACCAGATAATTCGATTATCTCTCTCCTTTAGACTACTACTCATTGATATGAATTTATAAATAAAACAAAAAAACTTTCCATAGCAAGGATATGCATTTTGTGTACATACGAGGGGTGATCCAAAAGTCTTGGACGCCCTGGTCTAATTTTGTTGGTTTTTGATTAAATTACTTTAAACTTTCCAATAATAAAGACCAACAATCTAACTACTTTGTGTGTTAATTTCATGGAGAAATTATATATTTGATGTAGTTTTCTAGATAGTTTTTAATAAAGGGACCCTGCCACCCGGAACGGTATACGCACGTGACAACTTTCAGCCTTAAATGTTCCCGCCATTTCACTTGTTTCACAAGTCTTGACCACTATCTTTCTTTGAATTTTGAATGTTAAACCATGTAAGTTTACTTCCTTTATTATTAGGCAATCAATTGATTGTGTTTTAAATATCATGTCATATATGAATGGCTGTATTTGTCAAATTCTAAGAAAATGACCTCAGACAAGCAACCCTCATTCTGGTATCATTTTTGCTCCAAGATGGCTGCTGAAATGGAGAACATGAAAGAAATCAAAGTGGAACAAAGTATACTACAAGATATTCTCACTTTTATTGACCTTGAGCAGCTACCATATGCACGATATAGTCTAGATATGGCTCTGTGTGCCCTCACCAAAAAATTCTCTATCTCTAGAGACATCTCTAGTAGCTAGTGTTTCTCTAGTGATTTCTCTAGTTCAGTGTCTCTAGTAATTCACTAGAGAATCACTAGTGACATTTCTTAGTTCTCTAGTAATCTCTACTTTCACTAGTGAATAGCTCTCTCTAGTAAATCTCTAGTATTTCTCTAGCATTCTAAATTCAGTACATTTACCATTAGTTCACTTATTTGCCAAAGGGTGGCAGTATATGCAGAGTTACTACTTCAGAATCTATTGTATTTTTTATCTTGGTAAACATGTTAAAATGCTGATATTATAAATGAGTAATGATCTTGATTTGAAATTTTATCAAAGATAACGTCTCATACATTTGTAGCAATACAATATATTTGGTTTATATGCATTTATTACCCAATCAAATGAAATCCGGAGGAATATCGCGAACGCCTCCGTCTATCTACACGTCTGTACATACATCTGTTCGCACATCTGGGAGATAACTCAAATACATTTGGCCCTATTTTTTCATATTTTGTAAACATATAGCCTATGGGGGTAGAAGTTCTGTTCAAAAGCCAATTTTCAAAATGGCAGATCATTTAAAAATGGTTTTTAAGAATAATTTTCATAATTATTTGCCTTTCCAAAAGTTCTAAACTAGAGTAATTATAATTAGCCTTGGTATTATCTCACTTTTTGCTGACTGTTGAAAGTCAACTTCTGGATTTCATAAAATATAACTTTTTCATCTCTTTATTCTGAAAGATGATATTTTTCTGCTTTAAAATGGTTTGTTTCTGACCTTTATAGTGTAATTATTGGAGAATTTAGAAGTGTTTTTAAGAATAATTTTTATAATTATTTGCCCTTCCAAAAGTTCTTAACTAGAGAAATTATAATTAGCCTTGCTATTATCTCACTTTTTTGCTGACTGTTGAAAGTCAAATTCTGAATTTCATGAAATATATCGTTTTCATCTCTTTATTCTGTTCAAAAGCCGATTTTCAAAATGGCAGATCGTTTTCAAATGGTGGCCATTTTCACACTACCCTACCACATGACCACATTAAAAAGGGAAACAGGGTACAGTTAAGTTGCAAATGGAGGACGTAGGTTTAATTCCATATTTCTGAACGTAAAATATATTTTACATTTATTTCTAGTGATCTACCAAACATAAAATAGATTCATCAAGCAGTTTGTAGAATATTGTTGGCAAAAACCCATGTAGGCAAATAAAGATAATAGTGGGCGAAGTGAAGCAAAACTCGAAAGTAATACAAGATGCATTTCAGTAAATCTATTAATGTACAGGGAACGTGCAAGTTTCACTTCGAAAATATTACATATTTTAACATTGATATGTAACAAAAAACCAGTTAACTGTAATTTAAAATGCTTGTCATTGGGTTATATTTAGATACAAAATTTAGATTAAAAGATGCAAATATGAGTACCAATCTTGGTACCCATTTGGGCACACTAGAGCTTGCCTGATTCAAAGATGCGAATATGAGTACTGTTCTTGGTACTCATTTGTGCAAAATAAAACTTTCCTGATTAAAAGATGCAAATATGAGTACCATC